AAATAAACAACTGGAAGAAAACGAACCTAAAACTATCAATAAACACAGAGGCATTCAAACAGAAAGAGAGAAAAGGGCAAAAGGTGAAGAAAACTCAATTAAATCTACACTTTTAGTCAGTATGAGAGAATAACAAGTAATACAAGACACTGATCCTCTTTCCTAATAATGCTTTATGTTCATTAAGTGGTACCAGCCACACTTTCGCTGTGAAACCAACATCTGGCTCTTTTACTGGGTCACTTTAGGTCCCAGAAACCTCTTTGAAGATCCGACACTTGAACTGGTGGTACTGACGGTACTGTTTACTTACTACTCTGCCCATCTTGTTTAGGTTCTTGTTAAACATCGCTAAAAGAGGCACCTCGTTCATTGATTCCTTCCTTTCCTTTGGGAAAGCACATGCTGAACAAATAAGACAGCTCCTATCGTTGAGGGTAAAGCATTCATTGTTATACCCTGACACAAACAACGAGACGAGACTGTACACTAGCCCTGGGACTGATGGGGAGGGCCCTCGAGGACTTGTGATAGGAGTCGTTCTCATACCATGAGAGAAGACCTTTGTAACTCTCTCCCTCTGTAGAATGTGAAAGTTTTCTCTTGTGTTCCATCCATGTATTATTATTGTTATCACACTTTTGAGGAGTTTGACATTACAGGGTCTATGCTCATTGTTACTTTTGTGGGTGTGTGAATTTTTTATGGTACGTTGTGTGTTGTGCACAGCAGCGGATGTAGGCTACAATGTGTGGGCTGAGAAGTTTGATTTGTTCTGGGGCTCTTTGCAACTGGCAGAGGTCTTGAAGTTAAAGCTTCCGAAGATTTATAGTAGATTTGTCACTAGTTATGCACATCCTTTTTCAGAACTGTTGCTGTTATTTTCTTATGTCAAATAGATTAAACAAAAGTCTGTAAGTAAACCTTTTTAAAGCTAGAGCCCACTTTTCACACCTTTAAAAGACTAAACTTTTTGCACCACATACTTACATGTATTTCCAAGCGAGGTCTTAATTAATAATACCTGCCACAACCCAGATGGTCCTCACCACCCACCAAAATCACCAATTTACAAACCAGTGGACGACAAGCATAAGGTTAGACGAATAGAAGAAAGAGTCGTCTGCAAAGGGACGAAAAAGAAGAGAAAATATGTTGTAGATTGTTCTCGTAAACTTTCCTCTTTATTGAAACATCGCGACCGCGAAAGATCTTCAGGAAATAATTGCCTTGTGCGTGAGTCTTGTTCTTTGTTGCGTCTGTACCTTAATTAAGCCTGTTGTATTCCCGCCCAAAAAGGCTGTTTCAGCCGGGGCTAACTTCCTGCTGGTGTTTTATCTCCACATCCGGTGAGATTTTTTTTGTTTCGTCTAACAGCGAATGTGGCTGGGTGTTGTTTTTTTTAATGTTTAAAACAATAGAGCGGTGTTCCGTGTTGATTTGAGATACATTCACCGGTCATTGCCACTCTCCACTTTTTGCTCACACACTCACACTGCCATACACATGAGTGAGGGACGAATTCACAATCTCGCCTCCTTTTCCCATACTCTCTTTCTCTCTTTCTCTCTCTCTCTCTCTCTCTCTCTCTCTCTCTCTC